CTCAGCCCCCACCAAAGGTCCCCCAAAAAAGGGGCTGCCACAGCACCCCCTGGGAAGGCAGGACCCCCAGCGCCCAGGCCAGGAAGCAGGAGGAGGACTCGGAGAGCAGCAGCGAGGAGTCAGACAGCGATGAGGAGGCGCCAGCAGCTGTGCCACCAGCCCAGGTGAGGCCTCGTGGGGAAGCAACTGCAAGGCCAGGCCTCCCAGCCACCTCCACCTACTCCTCCGTCAGAACGTGGGTTCAGGGCCAGATGAGGAAGGAAGACCAGATTAAGGTTCTGGCTCCAGGATCCTTTTCCGCGGCTGCTGTCTTCTGTGTCTCCTTAGGTGAAACCTGTTGTAAAATACCCCCCAATCCAAGGCCTCCCTGATGGAGGGCGTCCTGGGCGCTCCCATATCTACCAGGGCCTCCACAGCAGGAGTGGCACACCAGCCCCTTGGAAGGCTAGGCCAGCAACTCCCGCCAAGCCTCCAAAGATGTCAGAGAGCTATGAGGAGGCTTGGACTGCGATGCAGGTACCATGAGGCCCTGGGGAGCTGGAGGAAGTCACATCCCCCACCTGGGCCTGGGGCCTCCTGTAGGCATGTGTGTCTCCCAGGAGAGTTCTAGCTTAATGTGAAGGGTGGGGAGAGGGAAGAATAAGGAAGTGACTTTTAGCTGGATGATTCTCCCTCTGTCTGCTTGCAGAAAGCAGCAGGAGAGGCTATGTCCTTCAGAAGTTCAGGGCAGCAAACTCCAGGACTCACAGGGTTCAGACATGTGATGGACACAGCTGATGCAGGCTTAGTGCAGGTGATAAATGGCAACTGACGTGGAGGCTTGATAATCAGGAGAGACAGTAGGGAGTGGTGGCCACTAGGACAAACCGGAGAGCCCTTGCCCCATCAAGAAAGATGGTACCTGTTAGCTCTAGTTGTGACCCGGTGGAAATGTACCCGTCATGTGGCCAGATCTTGTATTTCTTAAGGGAAGTGAAAGGGAAATTCTCCAGCCCAATAATACAGTTGCCTCCTCACAATTCAAGTAAATGTAGATTTCCGTTTCCTCATGAGTGAAACAAGCACTAGAAGTCTGGTAGGTGCTCATAGTATTAACCTCTCTGCCTTCAGTGCATTAGACCAACTACTGAACACACTGTCTTGTTGGTAGAGATAAAGGGATGAAAGATGTTGGCCCTGCCCTCAAGGAGCTTATAGTCTGTAGGGCAAGATGAGGTGCCTGGATTATTGGAGGATGTTCTGGTTGTACTCTTTCTGATGGAGCTGGGGGAACAGGTGTCTGCAAAGCCAGAAGAGGAGGTGATTGGGCTGAGCTTGGAGGAGGGCCTGGGGTTCACTAGACAGAAAGGTAGAAACAAGCCTAAATTGGGGAGGGGAATGTGTGCAAAGGGGAGGGGTTGAGAAGTCAGGTGGGTTCGGCAGAGTCCAGCTGTCCCGCAGGCAGCAGTCATTACTAGTTGCTTGTTACCAGTAACATTTCTGGGGGCCTAGATGCCAGAGTAAGACACAAGGGCCCTAACTATGTTTCAAACTGTGCAGCTTTTTGTTTGTTAAAGTTTTAAGTGGGTTATTGTCTTGGTCAGGATGTTCTAATCTACAAGTGAAAACCTAATTCATAAGAGTTTAGGGAGTAAGGAAACTGGGTATCTCCTAGAGTATGAAGTTTCAGGGTAAGGCTGCTGTAAAGGTGGTTCCTTCAGCTCAGCCTTATTAGTTACTCAGATTTCTTCCATCTCTATGCTTTACCTGCCTCATTGTCACAGCAGGGCTGCAGCGTCTCCTAAAGAGCTAGGAAATCCCCCAGTTGACTTCCCCTCTTCCTTGTCTCCTTGACCAGGTCTAAGTCACATGCTCCCTCCCTTCCCCACCTCCCAAAAAAACACTCACCGATGAGGGGCCTGTAGTTCCCATGACTGGCTAGGAGAAGGGGCCACCCTCTCCAAAGCCCGTGGTGGGGGCCACCAGAACCGAGTCAGGGTTCTGTTAGCAAGGAAGACACGGGGGCATGGCTGTTGCAGTATGTATTGTATTTGACCCATTCAAAATTGGGAAATACACACATAAATCAGGATCCTCTAGCTTCTTGAGAAATTGGAGGCTCCGGCAACATAGGTTCCTGATTTTCTGGCTGGGCTGAGTAGTGCAAGGTGGGGCCTTCACATTGTAGGGAAGCACAGAGCTGCCCTTTGCCCCTGAGCTGGTCACAACCAGTGCCTGCTAATTAGCCACTGCTTTCCGAGTCTTCCTTTGGCCCCCAACTGCCGTTCACACCCACCCAGCCCCCCTCATTTATGCCTGGCCCGATAGGGGATGACACCGTCAGCTCCTGCTTTTAGCCGGGGGTGCTTGTGACAGCCGGATGTGAGCTGTGCTGAGGCTACTAGCTCACCCCTGCAATCTTGTCCCAGGCTGCTGTCACCTCTCATTCAGATGCCTGGCCAACAGCACGCCAGCCCTCAGGTTTTGGTGGTGTCTGACTCAAACAGCCCTTTCTTGTTCAAAATCAGCTCTGGAGGGAGGATGGGCAGAGTGGAGGCCTGTGTTGCCAGTGGCTGTGGGGCATGCCGGCCAGCAAGCTGTATCCCCATGTACTTGTGGGGGTAACGTTCACACTACCTTCCCCAGAGGGCCAGCGTGTGTGAGGTTCTCTGCTCACTGATCGTGTTCTCCCCACCCCTGGCCCCTCACTTGTGCTCCCCTTCACTAATGAATGCTTCCACCATGTGCTTGTCCCCTCAGAAGGAGGGTAACTCCAAAACCGCCAGTAGCAAGACCCTGGCCCCAGCACCCCAAGAGAAGAAGGCAAAAGAGTCCTCAGCCAGCAGTGACGAGGAGCTGCCGGACAGCCAGGTAGGCTGGGCCTTCTCTCTGAGGACACCGCAGGCTCCGAGCTGGGCGGGTGGGCCTCTGGGGGCGAGGGCAGTTCTGTCCCACTTAAACAGCACTTCACAGTTTCCTGAGCTCTTTCCTCTGTTTTGACACATCATCTTCATGGTAACCCGGGAGGCAGGCGGCCGAGCGTTGTTGAATATCCAGGCTTCAGAGGCAGACAGTGTAGGGTCAGAGCTGGCTCCCCCACCCACCAGCACCACGGCCTGGATTTGTACTGGGCCGTAACCATTCAGAGGCCAGGACATTTCAGCTGAAAATGGTCCTGCCTCCTGCCTCTGTGCTGGCGCAGGTACACAGTGTGCTGCCCTGTAGGGAGCCTGGTGCTGCAGGAGGGCACGTGATGGTGCGGCAGGAATCAAGGCTAAACAACTTGAAATGATTTCCCCAAGTTGTTATGCCCTATAAGAAGCCGAGGAAGGGGTAGACACCGGGCCCCTGGCTTCCTGCATACCCTTGCTTCCTGTTTGGGACCAGGAGTCTTCTCTGCAGGGCCTGTCAGTCCCGCAGGCTTGGTCCGAGACCTGGCTCATGCACCTGCAGCCCAACTTCCCACACTGCCACACTGGCCGTCCTCCCTGACTCTGCCCCTGAGGATGTGACCAAGCCCACCTCATCTCCTCAACTCTAGAAGTCCATATCCACTGGGCAGACGTCCAAGCTTCTGTGACCCCCAAGCCTTCCAGCAGACGGCACTGCCGTTTGTCCCCCTCTAGCCCCAAGATCCTAGAAGCATCTGCCAGGCCCCTCAGAGATGCTGGAGTCTGCAACCCTCAGACCAGTGGGGTCTCCCTAACCATCTCCCCTTAGATATCATGCCACTTGCTAATCAGTCCATCAGTGGAGTCAGAGAGTGTTGGCACACCCCTTGTGTTGGGGTGCTCACGGCCTTTCTCTCCTTAATAACATAAATTATGAAAATAATGGACAACGACATCTAACATTATTCGTTACTTCCTGAGTGCCAAGGACTGTGCTAAGCCCCATACTTACGTTATTCTGTTTAATCCCCGCAACAGCCCAATGAGGGTAGGTGCCACTTCTATTCCCATTTTTGAGGAGGAAGGAATGAGGCCCAGAGAAGTTGGGTGAACTGCCCCAGCAGTACATGGCTATAACCAGGGGACAGACCTAGCGTTTGGACCCAGGCTGTCCGCACTCTGACCTGCTCCCCGGCACTGCCCTCTCCAGGGCAGGAAGAAAGCAGGGCTTGGGCACTGCCCTCCGGCTCTCTGTGGAGCCTTTCGGAGGCTGCCTCCTCTGAGCAGGATCGAAACAGCTGGGAGGGAGGGGGCCGCTTCGCCCCTCTCTGCGGGGGTGGACTAACACAATTAAAATGAACATCATGCTTAAACTGAACCATTTAATTGGTACGTTAGTCCTGAAGATCCTGGAGTCCCTGTGAAAAACGAAGGAAAAAAAGTTGGCACTTTGTGCATTCCCCAGGAGGATTCAGGGAAGATGGCATAGCCTGGGGAAGCTGCAGCCTCCTCCCAGCTGGGGGGTTTTTAGCTCCTTATTCCCCAGCTCACTAATTATGATTATTACCATTCTTATGTGTTTATCAAGCACTTCTCTATTGATAAGTTTGCCTGTTTTTTTTTATTATTAGCCCATCAGTGGGGAAAGGGATTGATGGCCAGGGTGAGCAGAGCCCCAGGCTGGGAGGCAGAGGAGGTAAGGGGGGGTCTGTGGCTCAGTCCTGTTGTGCTGGCATTAACCCCGGGCAGGGTCTGTGG